TGTGCTTTGTTGCGCAGTGCTGATGGTGTGGGAGCTAAGCTTGCACCGGCGGAATCGTCAGCACCGCCTGCGGGCTCCACGCGAATCGCATCCATCCCGGGTGCATGCCGCATGGACAGTGCGGCAGACCGCAAGTCGGAATGCCCATGCGGGCAAATGGTAACGAAAGCTGGGTGAATTTCGGTGCTGTCTGTGATGTTTATCCCCGATGCGCCAGCGGCCTCAGCAATCCGCCCCACAGCCGCGAGCTTCATCGGGGCACACCGCAAGTCTCCGGAGGCCCCGTGCATTGGCCAAAGTAAATGTACAAACAAGGAGCTTGTGTATTTCATAGAGAAATGAAAGCAAATTATGTTGGCCTGCTGGTGGCAAGTCGGATTGCCCATGCCGGCAAATGGTAACACAAGCTGGGTGTTCAAGTTATCATACGCCGTCATCTCAGAATTCCATTGTGAGATACGCGGCAGCTTTTGGGATGAAATTTAGCGCGAGAGGCGTCGATGTGGCTTTTGAGGTCGGTGAATGGAGGCAGCTAAACTTGTTTGTGCTCATACGGTCTTTGTTAGCTACATGCGAGATACCTTGCAATAGAGAATGCTGTATAGTACCGATAACGCGTTTCAGCCGGGTGAAATATTCAGTTTGGTCCGTTACACACTCAAGGCCTGGGAGTTCGAGTTATCATACGCCGTCATCTAAGAATTCAAATATGAGATACGCGGTACCTTTTGAGATGAAATTTAGCGCGAGAGGCGTTGATGTGACTTTGGCCTCGGTCAATTGAGGCAGCCAAACTTGTTTGTGCTCATACGATTTTTGTTGGCTACATGCGAGATACCTTGCAATAGAGAATGCTGTATAGTACCTATAACGAGTTTCAGGCGGGCGAGATATTATGTTTGGTCCGTTACACACACACACACACACACACACACACACACACACACACACACACACACACACACACACACACACACACACACACACCCTGGGCCCTACAGTCGCTGGGGCCCCGCCCAAAAAATATTGCCGGCAA